AGAAGTGATAGATTCTTTTATTAAGGATTAATGGTTGCAATGAAAGCAGGCTGGAACAAAAATTCCCATGCAAATAGTTACAAAATTTCCCCTTCTCCCTGGCCCTCCAACCTTGGGCCAATCTGTCTTCATCCAATGGTGTGCCGCCTAGGTGTTTTGGGAACTGCTTGGATGTTTGGTGCCACTTAGTGCAGTTTGCATTCCTTTCCCAGGCTCTGTGGCTTTGAAGAACAGAACAGGCTGGATTTCAAACCTCTGGCTTCTGTCAAATCTGTCACTTCCTCCCCCTTGGTTCATCTCTACTGTCTACATGCCAATTGCCTATTTCCTCCCCACCCCCGTTAACAGTTTATGGCAGATGCCACCAAAGTGTTAAGCTGACGATGGCAGATAACACTTTCCCTTAGAGATCCGGTGCACAATTTGGTGGTGGCTGTGGCCAAGAGAGTCTTTGCACAAATGTGTGACAACTGAGCTCATCATTCCTGGATCACAAGGCCTTGTACACAGTCACCTGTTACCTATTGCTTAGATTACTGCAATGCTGTAAATGGGGCTTGAAGGCATCCAGGAGCTGCAATTGTTAGTTTTGGGTGCCCTGAGTAATGCTACTGCCATGTGAGCTGCACTGGCTTCCTTCCGCTAACCAGGTGCATATCACCTTTAAAACCCTACATAAGAACCCTTGTGGGTTCACCACTCCCTGAGGATACCTGCCCACCCTTCCTAGGTTAGACAGGGTAGATGTGCTCTAGGTCCCCTTCCTTAATTGTTATAATCTGGTAGGACCTTGGTGGAGCACCTTTCTAGTGGCTGCCCCCGCCCTTTGAAACAGCCCGCCTCACTTGAAATCAGGGAGATCCCACCCCTTTTAGCCTTCTGGAGGGCTGTGAAGAAAGAGCTTTTCCCCCAAACCTAAAGCTAGGATGGGAGTTGAGCTGTGAGGATGTATGTTCTGGTGCCATATTGGAGAGGAGGTACCTTTGTTTTTAACTATGATTTATGGACAGTTGTCAGCCACTTAAGAGTTATTGTATGAGATAGGTAGCCATATAATCGTGAAACTAAATAAAATAAAGCAAATAAACTAATAAAATAAAATATAAATGGCAGAAGTTTTTTTAAAAGATCATTTGTTGCTGTGGAGGATGAATATAGACCTTCTCTATACAGTATTAAAATGTGTTCAATGCTGTTGCCAAAGGGAGCGGATGTCAGCCCTTCAAGGTAAACCAAAGGTGAACGCAAAGTCATGAATACTGAAACTATTTTTACTATAGGGTTTATTGTAACAGAATCATGCAACTCTGAATGGCTTCCTCTTTATCTTAAAGGGAACTAGGGAGGGTGAAACCTGAGATGTTTTCTCAACTTACACTCCTGGTTTGTGCCAGGGTGACATTCTTATTTGAGTGTTGCCTTGGCTGCAGCTCTTTCTCCTCTACCTTTTTCTAAGTAGATACTCCCCAGTAACCATCTTTTTCTCAGGAAAATTTAACTTTGGCATACAGAAGATCACTGCAGTCTACTGTTAATTTAATGATGTAGGACAAAGGTAGACTGAAAAATAGAATTGGAGCATACATTGTTTGGTGAGTGAGTTTGGAAACCTTTAGTATATTTCATGTTCCATTTTACTAATGAATCTGAAAGATCTGGCTTATGGGAAAACAAGTTCTGCAAGAAATATGAATTTGCAGGACCGAGAAAAGGCCTTTGTTGCTCCTCATTCATTTGCTGGCTCTTCTCTCTGTTGGAAGAGGAGAGGGTGGTCTAGGGCTTCCCCTATTCTAGAAGCAAGATGTGTGGCGGCTGCCTCAGAAGGACAAAAGATGTTCCCTCACAATTGGTGAAGGTATTGGAGTCTAGATACCAGCTCTGCATGGTTTCCCAGGCCTGTTCTTTTAATAGAATGCATCTTTGGGGTAGAGCTATGTTGGCATAGTGTGTTTACTTAAGTACATACAAACATCTAATATTGTTGTATCATCAATATTTCATTACTGGAAAGTTATGTGTATATAATATAATGTGTTTGCATTGTTTATTTTTTAGGTTTGGAGTAATTCATTCAGTGTTTACAAATTTGCTTTTGTGGACAAATGGTATATTAGCTGAATCAAAGCATCAACTTAATGAACACAAGGAAAGGTTAATTACTCTTGGATTTGGAAACATATCAATAGGTGAGAAATGGTCTTAGTACATTTGGGAAAGTGGTTCTATCCAGTATCTTAATTGACCTATAACTAGGAATTTTAGAAAGTAGGCTGAAGTTGGATCATTGCACTCAATATCTTAATTGTGTCCTTTTTTTCTTACTGTTTCCTAGAACTATAGAACAGCCAGCTCTGCAGAAGACGAAGAAACAGGGTTGAATAATTTGGGGGTCATATTTTGCATGGTGTTGAAGAGTATAAATGGGAACAGGAGAAGAACCATTTCTACTCCATCTTTAAACTGTAGAAAAAGGAAAAAGAATCCTAAACTCCTACTGCCAATTTTTGATGCCAAGATTACTGAACTTGGCTCTGGATCCTGGGCAAATTCCCAGACACCTGCCTACCCTTAATTTTTTGAATAGTATGGGGGAGAAATTTTTTATCAAACATTTTGCAGCTACATTTTGGCAGTCTGACTCAGGTGTGCTGGGCAGATACAATCCAGGAGCTGGAGATTTGTTTACAGGTTCACAGTGCTGCGGGATTCATAGTTTTAGATATCCAGCACCTTGTTCCTTGTATGGGTTCCTGCCATTTGCTCTTTAATGGGAATCCATTGTAATGTGTACAATAAAGAGAAACCCACTGAATAGAGTGGGACTTGTTCCTAGAAAATGGTGGAGAAAAGGGTAGCCATCATCTGACACATAGGTTTTACACTAAATTAATTTTACTAAACATGTTAAGTATGTACTTCTGTATTTTCCACTTAAACTATTAGGATTTAAAAGAATAACAGAGTTGAAAGAGACCTTGGAGGTCTTCCAGGCCAACCTCTTGTTCAAGCATATCAAAGTTGTCCAACCTTTTCTCAAAAATCGCCAGTTTTGGAATACCAACAACTTCTGGAGTCAAATCGTTCTACTGATTAATTGTTCTAGCTATCTGGAAATTTCTCCTTTGTTCTACGTTGATTCTCTCCTTGATTAGTTTCCATCCACCACTTTTGGTCCTGCCTTCGTGTGCTTTGGAGAATAGGCTGACTCCCTCTTCTTTGTGGCAAACCCTTAGATATTGAAATTCTGCTATCATGACACCCCTAGTCCTTCTTTTCATTACACTAGACATACCCAATTCCTGCAACCATTCTTCATGTTCGAGCCTCCAGTCCCCTAATCATCTTTGTTGCTCTTCTCTGCACTCTTTCCAGAATTTCAACATTTTTTAAATATTGTGGTGAACCAGCATTATAAAGCAGTACTAATAAATACTCCATGTGATCTTGATTCTGTCCATCTGTTAATGCAGCCTAGGACTGTGTTGGCTTTTTTGACAGCTGCAGCACACTGGCTCATATTTAAGTGATTGTCCATGAGGACTCGAAGATCCCTCTCACAGGGGATTTAGTCAGGTACCACCTATTCTATACTTTTGCATTTGGTTTTTCTTGCCTAAGTGTAAAACCTTACTTTTCTCACTATTGAATGCAGTTTGTTAGATATGACCCAGTGCTCAAAATAGTCAACTTCATTCTGTAGCCTATCTTCCGGTATGTTGCCTGCCAGCTTGGTGTTGTCTGCAAATTAGATGAGTTTTCCCTTCTATCTCTTCATCTAAATCATTGATTAAAATATTGAAGTGTACGGAGCAGAGGTGGTATTCAGCAGGTTCTGACCAGTTCTGGAGAACTGGTAGCAAAGTTTTGAGTAGTTTGGAGAACCGGCAAATACCACCTCTGACTGGAGATTTTACAGTATCCTTCCCCTGCCATGCCCACCAAGCCACACCCACGGAACTGGTAGTAAAAAAATTGAATCCCACCACTGGTACTGAGTCTAAGACAGAGTCTTAGAGCACCGCACTGCACACTTCCCTCCATGTAGATGCAGTTCCATTAAGGACTACATGTTGAGTGCAGTTTGTCATCCAATTACAAATCCATCTGGTGGTGATGCTGTCTAGCCCACATTTTTGCTATCTTATCATGTAGTAGGTTGTGATCTACTTTATCTAATGCCTTACTGAATTCCAAGTAAATTATATCATAGAATTTTGCTAGTCTATTAATTTTGTCACTTTGTCAAAGAATGCAATAAAATGTGTCTGGCATAATCTGTTTTTGATAAACCTATGTTGGCTTCTGATTATAACTGTGTTTGCCTCTAGGTATTTGCAGATTCATTGCTTGACTGTCTTTTCAATATCTTCCCAGATATTGATGTCAGGTCTGTAGATTCCTGGATAATTTGTTTTTCCTTTTTGAAGATGGGATTACATTAGCACTTTTCCAATCATCTGGTAGTTCCCTGGTGCTCCAGCATCTTTAAAAGATATGGTTCAGTGGTTCTGAAAGCACATCTGCCAATTCCTTTAGAACCTTGAGATATAATCCATCTGCTCTTGGTGATTTGTCTGAAATTGTATAGAGTTTCCTGCCAAAGCAGGGGGTTGGACTAGAAGACCTCTAAGGTCCCTTCCAACACTGCTATTCTATTCTATTCTATTTGAACTCATAGAGGATGGATACGTGTTCTCTTACCATTTTCTTGCTGATTTTGACTTAGATTCCTAACCTGCATGTTACAGGTTTTTTAATAAGTTGGACTGTTTTTTTCATTTTGTGTAGACAGATGCAAAAAACACTTCTGTTTTCTCCCTCGTCACCTTCTTGTTACTTTCTCCCATTAGTGGACCAGTCACATCTGTAAGGTCTTGTCTCTCCAATCTTCCCAAGAAAGCAGGATTCTTGAAACTGAAGTTGTTCCAAGGAGCTTTTATTGAAAGGCTTGTGATAACACAAGATCTGGGTAGGAACTAAATTTTCCCACTTAAAAACAGCAATTTAAAGCAATGTAAACAAAACCCCTTCCACAGTACAGCAATGCAGGAAACAGAAACAGAAACTTCATATAGAGAACTCTCCAATCCTCCTTTCTCCCACCAGAATGCCAGTGTCCCAATAGAAATATATGGGACCTGACATGCCTCCCCCCCCTAGAAAAATGGGAAGTCCACCTGAAAGAAAACATAAAGAGGGAAGGGGAGACAAAGAAAACATAAAATCAGTGTTGTTTGTCAGGGTACAATTGATGAAATATATGTATTAATTTAGGGGCATATACATGCTTTTGTGAACCCATTCATTGTGTGAGAAGGGGAGGTGTTTCGTAGTATCTCCGTGGAATTTCCTGGAGTCTAAAATTTATTGAACTTCAAAATGTTGTTCGCCCTCTACCATAATAGGAGGTGAAACAGGGGTAGTAACCGGACGAGGTCAGAAGTAATTTTAGGTTTCAACAAGTTACAATGGAACATGGGGTGGATTTGCCATAATGACTTAGGAGTTGCAATTCCACTGTGACAGGGTTAATAATATGAACGATAGGGAAAGGCCCAATGTATTTTGGGCCCAGCCTTTTAGACTGCTTCAAAGTTTTTAGAAACTTGGTGGAAAGGTAAACTTTGTCCCCCACTTTGTAAGGTATAGGTCCTATTTGTTTCTTATCTGCTTGTGCTTTATAGGCAGCCTTGGCTTCATACAAGACTTTGCAGACCACTGGTTTGCAAATGACTGATCCACTGTTTCAATGAATGGATTTCTGGTTCATGTGAGGGTAACTCAGGCATAGCATTAAATTCTTGTCCTATGGCCATTCTGAATGGGATAAAACCTGTACTAGTGTGGCTGCATTGTTGAGGCTACTTCTGCAAAAGGCAATAACTCGGTCCAGTTGTCCTGCTGATAGTTAATAAAACAACGCAGATACTGTTCCAGCACTGAGTTCATTCATTCTGTGGCCCCATTTGTTCGCAGATGAGGACTAGAAAGAACTAAGTCCCTGTTCAGTTCCGATTAGGTCCAAAAAGGCTTTCCAGAACTTGGATGTGAACTGCACTCCTCTGTATAAAATAATACGTTGTGGGGCCCCATGCAAGTGGTCTAGGTGAACCAAAAACAGCTTAGCCAAGACTTTGGCCGTAGGGATCTTTTGGCATGGGATGAAGTGAACCTGCTTTGAGAAAAGGTCTGTGACAACCCAGATCAGTGTATTTCCAGAGCTCTATAATGAAATCCATGGAGATCTCTCTCCATGGTGCTGAAGGGTTTACCACTGATTGCAGCAGACCAGGGGTTTTCCCCTGCCTGCGTTTCGCGGCAGCGCAAATGGGGCAGTTTGCTACATAGCTTTCTATGTCTTTTTTAAATGAGGGCCACCAGAATTGCCATTTCAATAAATGTAACATGCTTACAAAACCAAAGTGACCAGCTAATTTGGAGTTGTGACAAGCTTGCATAGTTCTCAGCCTTTTCCTAGTTGGGACATACAGTTTATTCCCCACCCAAGCTAACCCATCTTTTATTATGCAAGTGTGTCTATGGGTACTAAACCACTCATCTGTTTCCAAGGCCTTTTTGAACTCTGTGGTGGTGGCATTGTCTAAGGTGTGTGTGGGGGGTCATTCTTTGTCTGAGAGCATGTGACAACTTTAGCAGCTAATTGGGAGGCAGGGAGCATGGGCTTAATTATTTCCGCTTTGACACTGTTGTATTGGGGTAGTCTGGACAAGGCACCTGCAAGAAAGTTTTTCCCTCCTGGTAAATACTTCAAAGAGAAATTAAAGCGTTGGAAGTATTGTGCCCATCGGACCTGTTTTGGGGACAATTTCCATGGGGTTTTGAGTACTTCCAAGTTCTTGTGGTTGGTCCATACTTAGAAAGTATTTTGCTTCCTTCTAAAAAATGTCTCCAAGTTAGGAGTGCCCACCTGACTGCAAAAGCCTCTTTTTCCCATGTTGCCTATCTCTGTTCAGTTTCAGTTAATTTCCTAGAGGTGTATGCACATGGTTGCAATTTACCTTCTTTGTTCTCTTAGAGTAAAACTGCACTGTCTGCCACATTACTGGCATCGGCCTGAATTACAAATGGTTTCTCTGGGTCTGGGTCTTTTAACACAGGTTCGGCTGAAAAGAGTCTTTTCAGTTTCTCAAATGCTGCTTGGCAGTCCATAGTCCACTTCAGTGGT